GAGGTTTCCCATATATATGGGAGTAAATTTGTGTAGGGGTACGCAAAATCTCTCCTATACATATGGGAGAGAAATTTTCAATGTGTAATTTTATCTTGACCCTGTCAGATATTAGGGCTAATGCTTCAAGTCAAGAAACATTTTTAATGAATAAAAGAAACAAGAAAAGAATATGTATTGCTAGAGCCAATAAATCAAGTGAAAAAACATCGTTAAGAAATGAAGAAAATAAAAAAAAGAATATCTGATTTTTGAGCCAATGAGTCAAGTGAGAATAAAGCTGCACGAAATGAAAAAAATAGGCAAAGAATGTGTGAACAAAGAACACATGAAACTTCAGAAGTTGCTGCCCACAGAAAGCAGAAAAACAAAGAGAATATGTGCGTTGTTAGAAGAGATGAAACGGCAGGGCAATCACAAGTTAGAAAAACACTTCATGCTGCTAGTCAGAGGTCCAGTAGAAGCAAAACTATTTTGTAGATGACGCTATAGCATCTTTTTTTGAACAAAATTAGATTAGGTCCAGATTATGTTTGTACTGTATGCCATCGTATAATGTACTATCATAGTGTGTATCAGTTTCGCAAAGACAAATATAGCAAAGCTGACCCTGAAATGCTACAGAGTGTTTTGTCAGTCAAGTATATCTGTAAAGATGGTAAACAGTGGGTGTGCCGTACTTGTGATCAATCCTTGAAGATAGGTAAAATCCCCATAATGGCCAAAATAAATGGATTAATGTTACCAGAAATACCACTGGAACTTAAGAATCTAAATGACATTGAAATTAGGCTTATTAACTAGAGGATACTATTTATAAAAATGATATCCTTACCTGCTGGTAAGCAAATGTCAATACATGGACCGACTGTCAATTTTTCTTGTCATGTAAATAATATTTGCGATGTGCTAGCATGTTTGCCGTCTCAGAGTGAAATCATAGCTTTAAAACTTAAAAGGAAATTGTGCTAGAAAGGACATTACATGCATGGGTATGTACATCCTGATGTAGTGTTAAATGCTTTAAGTTGGCTTAAAGTTCACAACCCACTTTATAAAGATATCGAAACAAACCAAAATTGGGTAGCTGATGCAGCTGTAGATGACAATGTAATTTTCTTTAGTTTGTTGCAAGAACCCATCATTGAGAATAACACTGTAGATGATACAAATTGACTTGAAAGAATTGACGACAATTAGGTTCCTATGGAATCCATTGAACCGAATAGCAATGTACCTGCTGAAAGTGTTTCAGTAAGTGATAGAGTTATATCTGAAATTAACAGCCAAAACGAGGTTGCTATGAAAGTAGACACTCCATATAGTAACCTTGCTAGCTTTGTAAGGCAGCATGGTTATGTTATTTTGATGCGCCAGGAGATGGTAGCTGCCTTTTTCATGCCATTGTACATCAAC